TCAGGTAAATTACCCACAGTCCCGTGTTTCATCACTATCACTGTCACATGACCAAACATACACCACATGACCAGAAACAAACAGCAAGAGGAAATAAATATCGGCTGTTAATATCTGCCCAGTTTTATTCAAAGGAATCAGTACCAATACGTTAAAAACTGACAAATATCGACCCGTACCAATGTTAGTGCCGATATATCATGCAATCCTGAATCAGAATAAAACTGAAAAACCTTCAAAGGTTTATTCAAACTTCTCGACTGAGTTATTTATTGCTGAATCAAACAGATGCCAGATATTTTGCTCTGTGTCTCGTTTTTGCCACCTCTCCCGAACAAACAGAACCATCCTGCTGAATGCTTTCGGGTCCAACAGAAACATCTTTCCAAAACAAACATCTCCCAAAGGCAGCGGCCAGCTAGCAGACATTTCCTACCTGATGATGAGCACAGAAACTCCTCGGCCCGAGAACATCGGCTCCTTCTGGAGCTCCGGGGGATTTCTGTCCTGTCTGGGCGGGACCGTCCCGGTTCCGACCTTGACCCTGGCTATCTTGGAGGTTCTGTTTGTTTTTCCCAGGAGACGCGTCCAGATAGACCTGTCACCACATGCCACCTGGGAATGTGGCACCCACTCACCAACTGTGCAGGGCATCATCGAACCGCTCCCTCCCACTCGACATGGAGCGGGACGGGGCAGCAGAGGACAGACGACTGGAAGTCCTTCTGACTCCCAATGGACACTTTGGTGTGACAGATACGCCTTGCTGAGGTCAGAGGTCAGAGAGCGGACGGTTACCTCATGTACTTTTTCTTGACTGTCCTCTGAAGATAAGTTAATTTCTCAACGGTTTTCTAATGATTTAATTTTCTAATGATTTTCTTGAGATAACGAGTTGCGTTCCCAATAGTTTTCTCAAGATAATGACATAATTTCCCAATCTTTTTCTTGAGATAATGAGGTAATTTCATCTTAACGAGGGGTGTAGACTTTTGAGAGCCAGTTTCATTTCATCCACATAAATCTCTGAAGCAACTGTCTACATGTGTAGACATACTTCATATTAGGACTGCAACTAATGATTATTTTAGTAATCAATTATTTCATTTATTATTCTGACAGGTAAACGATTAATCAGATGGAGGAAAGTGGTTGGAGTAGTCGTCTTGTAATTGGAAGGTCGTAGGGTTGACACGACGATGAGACTGACCGATCACGTCATCGCTCCACATTTGCAGTTAACAGTAGTTACACCAATATTGCGACTTTCTTGTTATATGTAGCAACATTTTAGTAAAAAAAACTGGTATCAGCCAAAATCGGACTCAGCAATCGTTGCAGTCCTAGTGTAAATCGCTTTGAATGGTTAAAATGACTGGAAAATATAAGTTCAGTCCATTTACCATTTCTGAGTGGAACATATTTACATTTTTTTTAAATTTAATTGCAAAATGTTTTTATTTTTTGGCTTATTTAAACCACTGGCCTTTTTTGGAGCTGGAATACTCCAGGTAACAATTAGTCAACTACTAATTAGGCTGACGATTATTTCTGAAAATCGATTAATTGTTGTGTCCCTACTTAATGTGTCTGTAGGTAAAATGTCGTCTTTTCTGAGCTGATGTCTTCTAACAGCATTAAATGAAGTAAATCATCCTCCACATTTCCGCTGTTTGCTCTGACAGCTAAACAAAGGTGAAGCTGTCATGTGTTTCACACAGGGGGTCCCTGTGTGAAACATCCAGCGGCTCCTGCCACACCACGCTGCGTCAACACAGAGGAGCTCTCATCGCACGCTGCGCTAGAGAGAGGTCGTTACATAAGCCCGTTTGACTTCTGCTTTGTCAACAAACGGCAGAGAGAGGAGAAGCTGAGCAGCGCTGCGCTCGATCTCACCATCAGAGCTCCAAACATGGCTCGAACGTGGCGCTGCAGAGCCGGAGCTTTATCCCCCGGCCCCCACCGACGCTGCCGGCTCTCTTCCATAAACAGCTTCCACACTCGGCAGTGGCCTGGGATTCTGCACATTCCTGAGGCGAAGCTATTTGAAGTTCATTTCAAACAACTGCAGCATAAAAGGAAGTGAATGTAAGACACAGACAGCAGGAAAGCACCTGTACGGCTGACAGCAGCTCACACAGCCAGAAGGTCGTTCTACACACCAAACTTCACACATTTTCTCACGTTTTGTGGTTTTCAAAATATTTTCTGAAATTTCTGGTCCATATTTTTCATCAGCTGCTTTTAATCTAATTAGGCCTGCTGGGCGATAAATCATCCCAGAATTTACAGCGATAAACGCTAATATTATTTTGACACCATTTTCTAGTAATAACAGTAATAATGACAAAACACATTCCATAAACTTTAAATTCTAGTAAGGAACTGGAAGACATTTTAATTGTCCAAAGTAAATAAACAAAACAACAAATAATCAAATCAATTAATCACAACTAAAACAAGCTCAATAATTTATCGTTTTTCTCTCTTTCTACCAAAAACTGGACGATAAAAGTCTTCAGTCTGGTGCCTTGGTGTCCACTAGCCCTTTTTTCGAAGGACAATTTTGTTTACAGACACTTCATAATTCATTTTATTTATTATTTTGGATATTAAAATATCTTTCACTCTAAGTAACTTAGAATTTAAAGTTACTTAGAATTTAAAGTTTATTCATCTTTGATAATGCGTTCTTGAATTATTATTATGCCATCACCATCATATTACTTGAAAATGGTCACAAAGCAACAATATTATCGCTTATCGCAATTACTTATGGGACAATTCCAGAAAAATGTGTTATCACGACAGGCCTATATCTATATATTCAAGTCTTTGAGAATATCAGCTACACATTCATAAAGTCACTACGTTTTTAATTAGCCAGTTACATCATATTTCAGGAAAGTATTCCAAGAAACGTCTACTGCTCCAAGAAAAGAGGTCCTATTTAAAGGAAAAGCAAACCCACCCACAGCTAACAAAGACGTGTCTCTGAGTGCCTGCAGAGGCTGATAAGCCCAGATGCTGCACAGAGAGAGAGATCACTTAGCCGAGGGCGAGGGAACGTCCTGCAGAGAGCCGCACATCAAACTTTCTCCTCCAGCCTGCTTGCAGCTTGCATGGTCGGCTTTTAGAGGCAACACCAAAAGAATCCCAATGAGCTGACAGTTTACAGAAAGTGATGAATCCTCCAGAGCAAATGCTCCAGGCTGCAGGCCAAGAGTGAGGATAAACACTGAACTGAATATCTAAGTAGCTCTCCACTCTCTTTAGAGGGTTCACAGAGTGAAAAGTTCAAAATGAGAAAACGTCAGGCACAGGCAGAGCACCCAAAAACTGTACTCAAGGAAAAGTAGCACTACTTCAACATATTTCTACTCAAGCAAAAGTAAAAGGTAGCCGTCCAAGAAATACTCAAGTAAGAGCAGAAAGTATTTGGTAAAAAGGCGACTCAAGTACAGAGTAACTGATCAAACTGTAATTTATGGACCAAATATAAAGTTCTGTGAAAATTCTAGTATTTTAAGGACTAAAATAAAAATAAGTCACAAACAACGTAATTACAAAATAACAAAATAAGGAAAAGACACATATTTCCAAATTAACTTCTCTAAATATTAAACTTTAACAAAAACTGCAGGTGTGTGTCTGCCTGCTGAATTAGTGCTTAAAACATGTTTGTTTTTCATTCAGTGGGTAGAGAATCCAGAATTTCTCTGCAACTCTTACTTGAGTAAAAATATTGCGACTCTTATTTAAATAAGAGTAGCAATACTTGCTACTCTTTTTTTTTACTTTACCCAAGTAAAAGTAACTGGGTCAATGCAACTAGTTACTACAAAACAACTCTGGGCATGCAAACAGTTAATCGACTTATAATTGTCGATTAATTAAAATGGCACTCATCAATGACGTCAAAGTACAAAATTTAGAACGTCTCAGCGCGGCCATTTTAGTTTTGGCCAAACAAGAACAGTAAGCCTGTGTTTTGGAGGAAACGTCTGTGCACAGCTGATTTAGTTTGTGATCGACTGATTTGGGTTATTAATATGTAACTTAATACCAACTAATAGCTGTTTGCCAACCGCAAATAAACTCAACATTAAGAACAATTTTATATGACAACCAACTGGTGAAAGCTGCTCACGGCAATGTTGCTCATAGGAGATCTTATCGATTCAAAGGCCTTTCCGAATTGATATTTAATTAGAAAACTAAACCGTAAATCTAACCCTAACCTACCTACACCGATTGCCGAGTAGGGTAGGCCAGGTAAGCCCGGACAGCTTAGTGCTAGCGAGTGCAAGCTACCATAATGTCCGTAGCCAGAAAAGTTCTTACCTTCCAACCAACACTGCCTTCTTGCCGCTCACTTTGAGTTTCAACCATCGTTTAAGTTTCTCTGAAACAAAGTTGCCAAGACGTTCAATCAATTAACCAATAACATCCGCTTCACCTCTTTTTAGCGTAATAGCTTGGCCGCCATCCAGCAGAGGGCGCCGCTGGTCAACTTGATGCAGAGAGTCAGTTGGTACAGAAACTGAGATGGCGTCCGTACCAGCAAGGGGTAAGAGAAACTGTCCAAACCGAGTCCGATGTGGGATGTAAAATGCACTTTATGCGGTTCTGTTATGAAATATCCACTCGACAAGTTTCCTAAGTTTAACTTTAATAAACTTAGCCGAGCTACGAAGGAGAGGACGTGGTGACAGGAAAGCAGAGGGAAGGTAACATGGAAAAAAAAAACATGGCGCCAGTAGTGACGGTTGATTTTGAGAGTTAAAGCTCTTAATGGAGCGAAGTTTTAGCATTTCTTTAACCGCAACCACAGACAATACTTCTATGAATATTTCTCTGATCATGCGGGATCAAGTGTGTCGCATATTTTATTATTTTAGTCCTTTAGTTATTGTCATACGTTATAAATATAGGTAACCCTTCATCTCAGGTCCAGCAGGTTGACTTCAGAACAGACACACTAAGATTCACTATTCTAACGAGAAAAAAAAAATCAATTTGCTTTACATCAGACCTGTCATTTCTGCCCCACTGTTATGGACAGAAACCGAAAAAAAGGGATGATGGATGAGTTGTTGGTTGCTGGTTGCTATGGTGACCACCAACCGTCAATACCATAATATAATAAATGTCAGGAGAAAATAACTTCCTGATGAAACAAAATGAATTTAAAGAATAAATTAAGCAATTTTGACAAACTTCACATATATAATAATGTTAAAATAAAATGTGTCTAAGTTACATTTTCTGTTTCAGCCAGTATTTACAGCGGACACAAAATTGTGGTAAATGTTTTTTTTATTTTTTATTGAGCATATTATGAAAAATTTTAGTTTGTAAAAAACAAAATGGCTGCATCAATTAATCATTAGTCGATTTATAAGGTCAATCAACTTTAGAATAATTCTTTAATCGATAACTTGCATCATCATTGCAAGGGTTTATTTAAAATATGGAGCTTAATTTAGTAATATGAGAGACACAAGATGCTGATATAATGTCATGTCTATGTAATGAGCTCAGCTGTGCAGCTTCAGTACATTAGCTGCACAGCAATGACAATTAAGATTATAGCCTAAGCAGGTGCCGACAGCATTTTTTTTTATCTCTGCTGGATGTTTTGGCTCCGACCAGGGCTGGAAGCTCTGACTGTGTTCCCTAATATAACCCTGGGTGACAGCCCCACTTGATAATTGAGTCATAGGATATGGCGGCTGAACGTGAAAACAAACGGCCGAGCGATAATCCAGCAATTTCAAGTGCGATGAAGGTACTGCGTGCCGCAGGACTCCGGAGGGTCGCCATCATCCGGCTATTTGAAGAATGCAGGCGCGGTCCGACTGGACCCCGGTTCCACCCAGAGACAGACAGCGGGCCGCTAATGACAAATCAGTGTTGCGTTTTATTTCAAGTTTGCAAAGGAGCTAAATTGGGGCCATAAAGATTGTTGAAAAGGAAAATTAAACTGAATACTGAATATGAAAAGTAGTTTTGAACAGTTTTTTTCAGTTTCAAATTTTTATTATCAGTTATAAATATTTTTCAGTTTCAAATCTTAAGTTTCAATTTTCTTTCAGTTTCAAACTTTTGTTTCAAAATTATTTTTCAGTTTCAAATCTTTTTTTGGTTTCAAACTTTATTTTTCAGTTTCAAACTATTCTCAGTTTTGTTTTTCATCAAATTATTACCTGCAGGACTTTGAAACAATTGTGAAAATGACTGAATTGATTTTAAAAAAAGAATTTCTAAATTTAGCTAATTCTATCGAAGCCATTTTCTGATTAATACAACTTTTTCTTCTAATTTTACAAATTTCTTTTGGTAATATTGTGTATTTATTCTGCTAATATTATGATCTCATTCCTGAAATATAGGTCATGTAGAAACTATGTATTACTTTTACCAGGTATTTTATGATGACTGTTTGTGAAATATGTCTGCAAACATCCGCCATGACGCCTCTGTTTTTCCATCGTTTGTTTCTCTCTGACACCTGCCGGAGAGGACAGGATGTAGAATCCATCACCAGGCAGTAAACTATCCATTCAGCAGCTTGTTTACATGCAGCCATGGTCAGGCGGTGTCTTTCTGTGACTCGGACCTTGAAAAGTCAAAGCCCGACTCTTCCCTTCCCCTCTGGCTTCAGCCAATGGCTGCAGCCGACAGCTGGGCTGTTGCTAGGCAACATTAACAACAGAAACCCGGCTAGAGCATCAGGTTTGCACTCTAAGGAAAGAATCATTGACTTGCCATATGTTTTTCTTTTAAACTGGCTCAGTGTAATTGTGTTTTGTTAATTGAAAACAAAAATTATATAGTAATCTGCCTTTATGTTTAACTAGGATTAAATTAATGAGTTAACTCAAATACTTCAACTCACTTCAGATTGACAAAGGAGAAGTCAGCAAAACTAACAACTTTTTTCATGTTAGTCCAACAAAACAAACACTATTTTTTTTTAAAAAAGATTTTTACTAAACAAATTATGTCACTTTAACAGAATTGGGTTGCATTTACTTGAGTAACCTGTTGGGGGAAAAAAAACACTTTTATGAATATTTTTACAATGTTGTACTTTTTACTTTTACTTGAGTAATTTTATGATGAAGTATTTCTACTCTTAGTTTAGTAAAATTTCTGGATTCTCTATCCACTGAATGAAAAACAAGCATGTTTTAACCAAAACTTCATCAGACACACACCTGCAGGTTTTGTTAAAATTTCAGAAGTTTTTTTTTGTATTGAAAATAAAAATGTTGTTTTGTCTGACTTTATTGTTTCCTACTTATATGAATTATTGTCATTTCTGTCCATAAAATACTAAAATTTCCACTTTATATTTTGGTCCATCTGATTATGTAATTTTAAAATATTAAATCATTTGATCAGTTACTCTCTACTTTTTCCCAAACATTGTTTTTACTCTTGGGCAGCTACTTTTTACTTTTACTTGAGTAAAATATGCTGACGCAGTGCTACTCTTACTTGAGTACAATATTTGGTACTCTTTCCACCTTTGTACATTAATAACTGAATAATTTGCTTTCCATCAACTGATATGTTTAATTCAGCATTTTTTTTCTAGTTATGTTAACTAAATTTTAGTTCCACAGAAATTAAGTAGGTCTAATGTAATTTTGTTATCTTCTTTATTTTACACCAGAAAACTTAAACGTAACATTCTTCAAGTTAAGACAACAGTCATAAGAACATAAGAAATGCTAGCAAACTTTCACTGTCAAATGTCAACATCAAGCCTTGGCAAGGCCACAGAAATAGAAATTCACAGAACAAACTTCAGTCGAATAGTAGAACAAACAATTTGTGCGCTACTCTAACTGGAATAAAACACATGACCAACAAGCTTGAAACTGTTCAAAATGGCTGACCTCAGCTCATCCCTCATCAACAAATCTTTCAAATTCATCCCTGCTGAGAGCGACTGCTGCTCTCAAATCTAAGAGAAGAGAGAAATGTGACTCCGAAGAAGCTTCATGAAATATTAACGGGAGCTGGTCGACACTGTCGGCTCTACACACCGAAACACTCGAATGCAACACGCTCCCCTTGATTTACTCAGATCCCCAAAGAAGAAAAACAAACTGTGGCTGAAAACTTCACTTTCTTTGAGAAAAGTGAGCAAAAATCTTTCTTTACAGTTTTTACTTGTGGTAGTTGATCAAAAATAAACTGGTTGTGTGTACAAAGTTTTAAAGATGCAGTACGTAACCTGCATAAAAATGATTGTTACACATTTTTTGAAACCGTCACCAAGTCGTGACAGCAGGAGATGAGACAGATAATCTGTGAAAACAATTACTCCTCTAATTAGCACTTGCTTCCTCAGTGCTAATTAGAAACAACCAATCAGAGCCAGGAGGTGGGTCCTAGCGCTGTCAATCATCCTCAGCCATTTCTCTCTGCTGCACTACAGAGTATTCCTGACAGCACAGCCTGTCTGGATGCTAAGTCTAGTTAGCATAGCCTCCAATAACAGACAAACTGTTTTCTGGAAAAGTTGTTTCTCCACCATTAGCACATTTAGCAGCAAATACATAAAGTTGATTGACGGCGCTAAGACCCTCCTCTTGGCTATGATTGGTTGCTTCCGCATTTCTTCAATAATCTAGGATTTAAAAACATTTAATCTGAGTAACAAATTCACGTTAAAATATCCAAGATATTGTCTAAAAACTCCTAGAAAATAAATGTGATTTACAAAATTTTTTAGTATTATGAGATTGTTGAGGATTTGTCTATAAATATGGTCTATTTCTCTTAAACACTCTTAAACTAAAGACAAAGGATCATGCCATTTCTATGGCAAACTTTTTTATTTATATTTTATACTCTGAATAAATGCACCCAAATTAAAAGTTGGACTTGTCCATTTTCTTTAGACTATGCTAATGCATGTCTAAAGAAACTACAAAACATTTATTAGTGCCAGAATGTGTTGCATGTAAAAGTTTTTTCAACCTGAAAATATCTAGTAATGTTCCAGTTTGATGCACATTAATGATATTAAATAAAGGATCATGGGACTCGGCTGAACAAACACAGCGACTCATGTCTGATCCCTTCATTCGCTGTTAAACTGCTGCTTCCCCAGAACGGCTGGAACCCTGATAAACATCCAGGGCCAGAAAACTAACGTGCTTTTTTATCATGAGAACTGAGATCTGCAGCTCTGTTAGGAACCGTGCATGTGACGGGACAAACTGAGCAAACGAAAATCAATCTGACTGCTCCTCCTCTGTGTGATTAAATATTTGTGCACAGGTTAATATTTCAGCACACCCGTTTAGTGTCATGTTGCGCCGAGCCTGGGGAGTAAAAACATGAATGAAAACACAAGACGAGACGTGTTGGGCTCACCAATCCACTTTTTTCACTTCCGATACCGATCTGATACAGAAAAACGGCTCTGAATTGACGTAAAATGTTTTTAAAACACAGACAGTTATTTGATAACTCTGGACCAGGACAGCACACTAAAATACACCAATAACTTCACAAACTTGGAGGAAACCCGAGCACATCATCACTGGTTTTAGAATAACTAACGCAGGCTTACATTAAAGGGTATTCTCCATTCAGCTCCTTCAGACTAGCGGCAGCAGCAGTTGGCACACATGTGTCTCCTGAGTTAATCATAAAAATTACTTCTCAGTTTGTAAGAACGGTTGTAGTGGCATAATGGAGAAGCATTGTTTTGATGACTTGCTGGAGGCGGAGTTTTAGAAAGACTACTGGCTTCTTAAAGAGACAGAGGCCAAATTCAAGGCATCAAATTGTGAAATCAAATTTCTGTTAAGTTTTGTTTCATACATGCAGCATTTTTATAACAACTGATGGTAACATTGCTACTTTATTGTGCTGTTAAATGATATTATGTACCTGGAAAATGCAAAGAACCGCCCCTTTTAGGTTCTGAAAAGGCGGTTTGAAGGAACTAACCAGTTTGACTGAAGAAGATAATCAGATATCCTGTTCATGGTTTATTTGCAACTTTTAAAAATATATTTCATCAAATATCAGTCAGGGTGTGAATATATATCTGTGTACGTCTGAGAAATTTCACAAGTTGTGTTTAACATTTCAACCTGAAGTTATTCCTCAAATGTTTCCATAAAAACTCAAATTTATTGATCCAGATGATGAATCTGAGTCAAACTATATACCTTTATAGAAAAATAACTTTACTTGAGTACATTTTCTTTACATATTTGACAGCACTTAGTTTAAAGCAGAAAACACTTGTTGAAGCTATAAATGGCTGGTTAAGCAGTGAAGCGCTTCGTTGTCTGTGTGGGTTTACACTGGCGTGGCGCAGCAGTTGTTCAGGATGAAACCTTTTGGTTGGACCGCAGAGCCGAGTTAAACATTCATGTCGCTGTGTCAATAGGAGGAGCGATTACAACTGTTCAGTAGCAGCACAAGGCCATGTGCTGCCTACAGGACCTGGTCAGGCAGCACAGTTTAATATCACCAAAAGGTCAAGGTTCCCATCTGGAAGACATTCTGAATCATCTCCAAAGTCAAAATTTACACAAATGTCCTGAATGATATGCAAATTTACAATTATGTCAGATTGCACTTCATCTTTACTGTATTAAATTAGCTTACATACGGGTAACTTTATCGCTCAGGGTGGCCCAAACGTTTAGGAGCTGTGGTACCTCTACAGACATGCTGTACGTTTCTACTGTTTACACCTGGAAATTTCGCCCATGTGCACAACGCTGGAGGGAAAAAAGACGATTTTTTTTACTTGCCGTTCACAGCCACGCTGCCGCGGTAAAACAATCCCGTTAACAACATTAAATGTGGAAATGTAGGAACTACGTCTTGCTCCGATATTAGTCCTTTAAACCTTGAGATGTTATAAAAAGTACTCCTCAATTAAAGCTGCTTAGCGTTAATTGCTAACCTTCAGCTCACTGATAAGCTGGTGGCCATCTTTGTTGGAGCCAAGCAGAGTGTAATGCTAACCAACCAGTTAGGAGAAGTTGAAGCCTTCAGACACGCCCTCCTCATTTGCATAACGAGGAAGAAATGCATAAAGAAATGTAAAAGTAAAGAGAAAATGGCAAAAGAACAAACACTTGTAAAAGGAAAATGCAAAAATAAAAATTATTGATAAAAACCCATATATAAGGAAAAGGAAAAACTATAAATGTATTCCTGCTTTTATTTTTAATTATGTCAGTCTTGGTTCTCCGTACAGCAACTCATCAGTGGCACAGAAACTGGATATGTATATATGCGGGCGCCATGCTAGAGGGGCGCCACATTAAGGCGGAAAACATATTTCTATATTCCTATATTTACTCATTGACACCCCCCCCCCCCCCCCC